TTGCTGGTTAAGTGGCTTAGTGTTATTGATAAGAGCCCACTCTGATGAGAACAAAGAGGACTGCCAGAATCCCTTATGAAAAATAAAAAAAGCTATTCAGCACACAACTTTCAGAAATGGTTTCCAACACATGAGAGCAGAGGCTGCTCTGTGGATGGGCTGTCATAATCAAATCCTTAGAAATGGATGAGAAATGAGCGTATTCTTCTTGATTTACTATCACTTCATTTATGATTTCCAGTTAATACAGATCCACAAAGCCATGACAAAGAGATACTAAAGGCCTGATTGTGCTATCCTAATTCAAGCAAAAGCCATACTCAAAGTCCTTTTGAAGCCTTTCTGCTTCTGCCAACTCTTGCAATTTTTACTGCAAGCCTTGCAGTACTTGATGTTTTACTTAACATTCTGGCTTCTGGAGTTATACATCTATATATATATATATATATATAAACAATCTCCTTTATTTTCAATTTTAAGAGAAGTTTATTGCCTTTATGATTGAATACAAAAACTTGCAAATAAGACTTTTAAAAAGTGTCAAAAAAGAAAAAGAAGAACTTAACTGTATCGTACTGCTGAATAACTTCATAAAGAGAATGATATTCTTAGACTAAATTCGTCATTTCTGAGTCCCAGTGCATACTTATGGCTCACCAAGAGTTAGCAACACATAGCTGCATATTTTCACTTAACAGGAGTCCTTTTCTTTTAACACTTAAGGTTGAGGATTTCTTTTCATGCTCATAAAGGTATGCAAAATTTTGAGCCTCCTCCCGTCCGGTGCGGAGGGAGCAAAGGACCTTTCCATAATCCTCAGCTCCCGCGCCGGTGGCCATGGGTTCCCCCAAGTGTCAATGGCAAAGTGAGAAGCAAAGTAGAGGAAGCCTCTCATCAACCACCCAACTGGTGCCAATTTTGCACCAACTGCCCAACTGGGACAAACTGGGCAGCCCAGCCCTTAAACTGCCTGCCCCAGAGTCTCCCGTAAGCTATGAGGTGATCCTACAGGACAGCTGTAGCTGGGGGGCTGCTCTCTGAAGAGCCTGGATCAAAAACCAGGCAGTAAACTATCCCTCCCACGATGGCTGCAAATCCGCACGTTGCTTGTTAACACGGAAACAGCACAATGCTTTCTTTATTTCCCTCTTCCTCCCACCTCCTAATTTCTTTTTTTTTTTTTCCCCTCCTTACCTGATACCTTTTGTTTATTCTGTAAGCTATTTGAGGCAGGGGCTGTCACTTCCTATGTGTTTATGCAGTGCTTTGCATGAAGGCTGACAGCTCTAGGTGCCATTAGAATCAAAGGGGGGGGGGGGCATGACGATTTTTAAGGCGCTAAGGAAAACGAGGCATTCACCTACCATTGACATTCAATAGGATTTGAGTACCTTTCTCCCCTTTGAAAAATCTACATTTACAAGTATAATAATTAAGATGTCTGTCATCACCAAAACATCCATTGTTAAAATATGACACAGCCTCCAAGTAGGGAAAACCTTCATTTAGAGCAGAGTCACTAACGAAAAGCATTTTTTTTTTTTTCAGAAGCACTAAGACCTCATTTGTCTAAAATCATGCACGCCAGTATTCCACAAACTTTCTGGAAGTATCATGTCTATCTTGTATCATATATTGCATTAGTTAGATATCTGCTGAGAAGCACACACTCCATCAATTTAAGCACTAACATGGTCGGTTTTTTGAAAAAATGCTTCCTATAAATAGAGATTTAAATGATCTCCTTTAAGTATTGTAATCTTTAATTGAATTCAATACCTCTGCAAATGGAGCAAACAATCTCTGACTGATTAGATCATTTGCTTCTATTCTATTTCAGACATGCACTGGTTTGCAGTAATGTAAGGCTTTTTCATTAGCAATTGCTGTTCAGCTGCATATTTTCTTCACTAACCCAATTAATGCTAGAAAGGTAACTTTTCTTCTTGTACATTACAGTATGTCAATGTAGTTGACACTCTTGCAGAGGTTATATATAAATAAAAATCAGAAAAAAATGTAAAGGACAAAAATGAAAGGGAATGCAGAAATTAAAAGCAGATTTTCCATGAGATGTTCAATGCCTTCATCTCCCAGTGACATCAGGATGGAAAGTGATTACTCAGCACCCTGCAGGACAGACCTGTGGGAGTCCTGTGGGTCACTAGCACAGAAATTATTACATGCAGGTAGAATAAGAAAACAGGAATTAATGAAGAGAAGAAATCGTGTCCTTAATTTGATTCAGTAGCTTCCTAGGTCTGAGTTTGTTACAGGAGTAACATAGCATCCTGCAGACAAATTTCAGCTTTGACTTTGGGATGTTATCAATCTCTTTAAATCAAATCACAGGCCTGATTGCAAACTGCGTTCTAGAGCAGACCCTGACTAATTAAGCGTATAGTCGTAATGACAACACAGACCCTACCAGGCAGGATGTTTAGACATAGCTGAAGTAAGCCACTGTGTATTGCTGATGGCAAGAAGGGCTCAGTTATACACTCAGGATGCCATGTGCTGTAATGACATTAACATTGAATGCTTTCCTCAGAAAAGTTGATTTGGGGCTCTTAGATGGAGTTTCAAATGGGCTGCATCCAGTACTCGCACCAGCCGGGCTAATAGAGAGGCTGATCGAAACCTTCACCCTCAGAACGTGCTTTGGCGAGATGCTGCCCACCTCTGGGTGCTCCTGGAGCCTGCTGGAAGCTCGTGATGGTGGGACATCAAAGAGCAAGTGCTGGCGGTATTTTGGTGTAGCTGCTTCAGCCAGGAGGGGAGGAGGGAATGGCACAGTTGCACTGAGGTCACTCTGCTCTAAAAAAATTGTGTAGCTGCTCTGATCAAGGCGGTAAGGGGCACACCTTATTTCGGGCACCACAGCCTAGAAACAGAAGCTCTTTGGAAGATCATTTTGCCTAATTGTCTGTTTTCTCTCTTCAGAAAAAATTACACCTCCCCAGAGTTGTTAGCTTAAGAAACCTTCTTCTTCCCCAAATATGACATTGGAACACCTCAAAAAGTACAATCTTAGTGGCTAAACATCCAAACAAGTGTGTCGATCATACTGGGGAATACGCCTGGAAACTGAGGCCAACTGGCAAAGCAACTATACCGGTAAACTCCCATCGCCCACAGATCAGGCAAGGTGCCAGCTGGGAACGGTCCCTGTGATGTTTTTCATCCCAAATTGTGCCTGGGAGTTACCCGAGAGAGTGGCAGAGGCCAAAAGCATGCTGGGAACTGTTAGAACAGTTTAACTTAGTTTAATTTTAATTTAGTAGTGTTAATTAGGCCCAAATTCTTCCACGCTGTGAGGATGTCCTGCGCTTTTAGATACAGATCTTCCTCTGGGTAATTTTGATGAAGTCTTACATTTCATTGCTGCAAAATACTGAGATCAGCCTAGTTGGGTAATGAAGTGGGAGATACTGCTTAAAACAGAATTAATAACAAAGAAAATTTATTGCCTATTTAATAAAAACACTGTATCTTACTACAATAATCATTAAAAGAACTGCAACCTACAGCCTGCAATAGATGCTGTTTTTTGGAGGCAGCTGGTTCCATGTATCTGTAGTTGGCTTTTAGTTGCCCTCCGCACTTTTTTTTTTCTCTCCTTTGGATTCTTATGCACTTTACATAAATAAGGAAAATGCATAAAACCTGTGTTTGAAAATACAAGTAAAAATGTTTTTTTAAAAGCTCACTTTTAGCTTGAATGTTCTGCTTCAGTTTATAAAATAGTAATTTGTACTTTAACTTCACTGTAGTTTTCAGTCTATAGTAAAGTGTACAAAATTCTACAGACAGAAAAGCTGAAGTGTTGAGTTTGATGCCCCGATCAAATTCAAACTGTGAGTTGAGGTTTTACACAGAAAACAGGCAACTTGACCTCAGCCTCCCAGCCTAATCAGCACGTTCTCCTTCATTCTTGAGAAAATTAACCTCATTCATCATGTCGTGCTCCTGTTCCTCCCTACGGTTCGTGATGCTTTCTTTGCCCCTTGTCCTACTTCTGGATTTCAGAGCGTAGCTCTCATGGCTTGATGGCACAGTGGGCACACGAGCAAGCATGTGAACCAAGTGAACATGGGAAAAACTTTTAGCAGTGTACCTTTTTTTTTGTTTGAGGGGGTTTATTAAGACAGAATAAATATAAAAGAATCTTCCCTGCCACAGTAATGTCCTGGTAAGTTGTAGATTTTTAAAGCACAAATTCTGAATGCTGTTACTCAGGCTATCCACAACATGAAGGTACTTAATTCACTCACCTGTTTTTCCCCCCTCCTTTTCCCGATAATTAAATTCCCCCACATATTATACAGACAAAACCTGAAAGCTACTAAATATATCGCTAAATTCATGAGATGCAAATAACCTCAACGAACAGTAAACAACAGCCTCTGACTTGGAGCCCGAGTCTCCCAGGGTGCAGAGTTCTCTTAATTCTCTCTGCTGCCACTGCCTCTTCTGAGGAATTCTGCCCAAGAAGATGATCAGTTATGGGACTAGAGAAAGTGCTAATTCCCTCTTTTCCAGCCTCTTCCAACTTTTTGTCTTCACACCTCCTTCCTGTTCCCTCTTCAAACTGGGTCTCTTTTCTCTGACTCATGGATAAAGTCACCACTTCATTTCATTATCTCTAATTCCAGACAACCTGCATTCCTACGCTGAAAATAATCAATCTAAACCATCAAAGGAAGAAAGAGTATTTAAAAATATGCACCGCTATGAAGAAGGATGACAGGGCAATAAAATTCAGCACGAGAAAAATCTGAACTGGTAAGTTTGCCTAATTTAGAAGAACAGCAAGGTCCTTACTTTCCCTCTAAACGCTGATCAACATCGCATCCACGAGCCATGTACGGTACAGAACATTTATTTGTAATTCATGCATTTCTTCGATAGGAACAGTTTCATCTGCAGAGTGAATGCGATATAGGAAGCCACACTCAAAGATGGGAAAAGATTTGCAAAAAGCGAGGAAGCCAACTAACCTGACCAATAGGTTCTTTTGTTGGGGTCTTTCCTCTTCTAGCGGTGCTCGTGGCCAAAGTGGTGGTTGTTTCCATGACTGACGTGGACATCTCAGACTGCATCGCTGTGGCTGTGGACTCAGTTGTCATAGAGGAAGGCACTTCACCAACAAGTCTCACATTTCCTTCTATCACGATGTTGGCATCATTTTCTGCTGCCATATTCAGAACTTTCAAGCCATTGTAGTAAAGACCAGAGAGCTGGCCTTGGAAAGGGTGGCCACGTTCCTTGCCTCCAATTTTTATGGTTGCTTGGCTATTGAAGATTGTGAGCTGACGCCCTGTGAAGATAATATTATATACATGCAAAAATGTTGACTGCGAACACTATACTCTACACGAGTGATAACAGATTGTCATGGGGTGAATAATGAGAGCAATAAACTATAAGAAAAGGATTTGACTCATAATTCATTGCTTTTTAATGAGGTGTCTATGAAATGCATAAATTTTGAGAGCATTTGCATTTTTCTTAATTTACAATGTTTGGGGATTTTTTTTTTTTTTTTTGCTAAAAGGCCAATCAAATATGTTTGCAAATGTGTTTAGTACTACAAAATGATACCCCCTCTCCCTTTTACCTGAAAGCAGTGTTAAGCTTTTTGGTGTGTGTCAAGAATGCCAGGTTTCTAATTCCTTAAGATTACTTTTTCTTCAAGTCTGCCAACATTTCAAAGTTTTTCCCACGCAATACAGCATAGGGCCTATAGCTTTAAGTACGTACGTGTGAGTTTACGTATGTATAGACATATGTAAATATGTATATACACACAGAGAGAGTTTATATATATGCCAACAAGTCACTAGGTCAAGTGAATTTTAAAGAATATGTTATGCAGTAATCTGTCATATCTCTATGAGTGGATAAAATATCTCGTAAGTGGATCAAATATTTACATTTTTAATTAAATGTTTCCTTTTTGTATTTAAATGTTTATTTTCCTTCAACATACACACTGAAAAGAAACACATGGTTCATACTGAGTATCTCAGAGGCAGATTCAAAAATAGATGTCTGATTGGCTTTCAGCAAGGCTATCAATTAAAATAAAAGATTTTAGATGTAAAAGCGGCTTCAGAAATGATACACATACCGATGGAGAAATCATGGCACATTTCCATTAAACAGAGAAATCCTCAGCAACAGTACCACTCTCAGTAAATAGAATAGTCACTTTAGCAGATTGGTTTCTGCTCACAAAAAGCATGCACACAACTTTAAGTTCTGTTTTAATTAGTGTTTGTTCCAAAATCCCCTTAGAAGGTTGCAAACGTTAAAGGGACTTCATTTTGATTGGCAATTCATATTGCCCACTATTTAAGATACCTACAGTTTAAACAAATTTTTTTTCAGGACCATAAATGAAGATATCATGACTACATATATTTTTAGTTAATAATTTAGATGCTGGAACATGTAATATAATCTATGAATGATTTATAATTTTTGGTTAATGTTTGCTATGAGTACCTTCATAGATTGAGTTAGTGGATTATATTTAACAGTCCCTTTAACCTTAAGTTAACAGGGTAAGATTATTAAACAGCTGGTACTTCTAGAAATGTATAGAAATTATTATACAAGGTATGCAAATATTACTCTATATTTTACTTTTTTAAATTTGTTTTTAATTTAGTTTTACTGAAATTTATTTTTTATGTTTATTAGTGTTACAATGAAGTACTATTTGGTTATGTTCAAATTATTTTTTTATTTGAAGTTTTAATCAATGTTTTTTACCTTTGTCGAGTAGCCATTCATCAACTACTCGACCAAGTCGATATGGAATTCGCTGTCTAGCAATCGCCAGGCGCTCGTTATCATTGTTTCCTTTAAAGTTTAAAGAGACATTTCATTGGTTAAAATCTGTAAGGTCAAAGGTTAAAAGTTAATACTTAAAGCTTGAGCTATACAGTTGCCACATGATTTTTTGAAATTTGGAATTTTAAAAAGTGCTACCTAGAACATTTCATGGTTCAGACTTTTCATTCATTCATTTATTTTATTTTAGCAAACAAAATTATTCCTATGTTAATTGAAAATTAGAAATCTGCATTTGAGCTAGGTTATTAAACTTAAGTTATAGACAGACCCAAAAAACAAATTTAAACATCATCGAATGGCTTTACAAAAAATGATCATTGACCTCAGGGTTTTGTCTTTTTTGATGTTTCTTATTAACTAGTTAAACATGTTCAGGTGAAACAGGTTTAAGTTTTCAAAAGACATCCAACCTCTCACTCCAGGTTAGTCATTTAAAGAAGAAGAACACCACAACTCTTAATCACCAGCTAAGGCACACTTACTTCTGCTGTCTAGTAATAGACCTGCTGTAACTTATTTCCTAATCAAAAAAAAATACATTCTTCTTCACTTCATTTAAATAAGTTCCAGAGATTCAAATATATGGTATAGAACAGACCAGGGTATTCACAGTTTCTACATTCTCATAGGACACGTTGACAATGTCTTGAAGGAACACCAAGGCTTTGACAAAAGTGACTTGCTGAAAGGTAGCCTGGTTCTGAAATGTGGAAGCGCTTTAAAATTTAGCAAGAGGCCATCTGTAGTGGGGTTTCATAAATTAAGAACTAACCAGAACCTGGCAATGCAAAACACAAACTTGTCATATTTGCAAACCCTATCTATTCTCAGTCTGTGCAGAGATCTTTGAGTTCTTTAAATAAAACAATGGGATCAAATAAGGCTGGTACAGTCAGAAAAATATCAGACAACGAGGAATAATTAGCAAATCACTTTAAATATTTATTTCTAATTATAAGTTTTTGTGTTTGAATGATATAAGTGTGATCCCTCAGAAAACCATGTCTTCTACTTAAAACTTTTCTTAGGAGAACGGAAAACCTAAACGCTTCCTTCGACGTACAGGGTTTTTGTGGCAGTAGTATATTAGACCAACAATACCTTTGTCTTCCATTGTATTGGTTCATATTAGTAAAGAACCTGAGAGATAAGAAGAGCCAGATGAGTAAAAAGCAGTCATTCCTAATTCAGGTCCGAATCCAAAGTCAATCTTACTAGCTCAAACATGCATACTGTCTTTGACTTCAAAACCCACCAACGAACTAAGTCCTGCATCTGCAGTGGAAATGTAAGTATAGGACGCAGTAGCCCATGTAGTGCTCAGAAATACATTTTCCTGAGTTAGAAGGATCCTACTGCCAATTATCAAACCAAAGTTTTATCCAAATTCAGAAAATCAATGTTCTAGTTTGTCAGACAATTATCTCCACTATCAGCTTCACAAGCCATAACAGGCTTGCAGGGAAGAATCAGTGCCATAGCCCCTAGAAATAGCAAGAGCAACAGCTTCAGTGCCAACACCCATGGTGGTTTTATGCAGATACTTATTCTGCAGTGACATGAACTGCTACTTTCCGTGTTTCGTGTCTCCCTCATTTGGTTTAGCACGGACATAGTTCACTATGCCCAAAGCTGATCTGTTTTCTTTTGAGAGAATTTCTTTTTCCTATTCACTTTCCAATATAAAATCATAAAATGGTTTGGGCTGAAAGGGACACTTGAAGATTATCTAGTCCCCCCCCCCTGCCATAGGCAAGGACAACTTGCACGAGATCAGGTTGCTCAAAGCCCATTCAATCTGGCCTTGAACGCTTGCAATGATGGGGCATCCACAACTTCTCTGGACAACCACAGAAGTTGGTTCCACAACTTCTCTGGGCAAATATGCTATGTGAACTTCTAGATGCATGTCAGTATTAAAAAGTGCATGGGTATATATATAAAAATATATACCCTTTTTTTTTCATATGTACATTTTGCTCCATTCTCAACTTTCAGAAATATTCTCTGTAAAACAATATTTTACTTAAACTTTCCCTCTTCTGCCTTTCCAAGAAACGGAAAATTTAGAATAAAGGCTTTGGAACAGAACTCTTGTGATGTTGTGAGAATACAGAATGTCTTAATTTTTAATTTTTTTTCTATTATGATCCTTAAAATTAATGATCTTCATCCTGGGCTCCTTCACTTACAACAAACTTCCTGTGACTAAATGAAAATTTGAGAAGTACAGGGAAAACATGAGAAATGTCATGTGATCAACATGGGAACAAAGGTAAGTAGTGTGATCCTCCATGTTTCTGTTCTGGATTTGTATCTTCAATTAAAACAAAATTATATATATATATATATATATATACACACACACACACCAGTGAATTGTTAATTTCTATTCCCTGACAGCCAGTTACTTTTAACACTTACGTTTAGCTTTTCAATAAGATGTTTCTACAGTTTTTATTGAGGCATTATCAGTTGATTCACTGAATAAGTGAGAGAACATCCTATTTCAAAAGGTTTCCTTAACTTAAAACAAATGAATCATGAGGTTTTGTTGCTGTTGCGTATGGGTTTGTTATCTACGTTTAATAAAAAAAAGGGGCTGCGGGTGGGATCCTTCTATGTCATTTATAAGAAAAGACTATATTGTTCAGAAGAGGTTTGCAGGCATAAGGAATCTATTAACGCAATGGAAATAAGTCTCATTCACTCATCAGATTCACCCACTGTTACTCAGTGGATGCCTTTCATGAACAAATGCTTCCTACACCTCAGAACCACCATATAGTCATGTCAAAATGAAAGAGCGTTCACAACTGCATATGTTGGGAAGGCACTAAACTTCACGTTGTTTGTTCAACCAGTGGGTGTAAATCAGGTGCATTTGGTAGAAGGACCCTCTGCAGTCACCAGTTTGGATCCCTAACGCTATGGCATCTCTCTACTGTAATTCCATTACTAACACAGGATTTATCTTCAACAAAGTTTATTGCTGTCTCCACTTTCACTACTTGGCAGCTGCTCCAAGACAGCTATGGTGATCATGGAAACTCCTCTGTGAATTAACAGCATAAATTTGGTCTTGGCCAGCTTATACATTTCTTTGAATTATTTCATTAAAAGTCCATGCAGTATGTACGTTTTTTGAGACTATTGCACCCTATTATAATGTGATTCTATCAATAAATTATGTTTTATACTAACTGCAGCAGTCTTGCACCAGTGGGAGCAAAATACAATTTAAAAGCAAGGAAATAACCATTTGATTTGTAAAGGTCACACAAAAAATAATTGCTGATTACATTAGCCCATCGCTCATCAGAGGAAAAGTGCATTGTAAAATGCATCTCAATTTGACACTATTACATTAGCTTAAATTCTTCTAGTATATAATATAAATGGAAGGACTAGGGGGAAATGGTGTGGAGCTTATCCAGATTTAGCTTCAAGGAGAACACATAGTTTTAGTAATGATGAAACTAGTAGACACATAGGTAACTTAACTACATTTAAACAAACAAATTACATGTAGCATTGAAAAGAATGGAAACGACATTAAAAGCAACAAACATCGTATTATTACATTGTGAAAACCACACATCTTTTCAATAACTGCTTCTTCCCAAACAGCTGGTGTGGGTCATGTACTCAGCTACAACGAATCTGGATAGCCCCACTGAATTCAGTAAAACTGTGTGCATTTACTTCATCTGGTAATCTCATCCCCCACAGGGAAAACAGAAATATCACATTTTGTTTTTCTCAGGAGTATTCAGTGCACATTTTTCATGCTTCCTTTATTTACGCTTGTTTTTACCAATATGGTGAACCACAAGGAACTTCTTCAGTAAAAACACTTCCAAGAAGGTTAATAAATATTTTCATACTCTAAATAAACCTGTGGTTTTGAGATTTTATTTCTGTTACCCATCTGAAAGATTAAGTGCTCTGGCAGGCATGCTTTTCAACTGTAATTCATAAAAAACAACTGATATGCCTAAACTTTAATTGTAGAGAGCTATGTGACTATCCAGCATGACTCTTCCTTGTTACATGGCTGAGATTTCTTTGATTAAAAAAGCTGGGTAGAAATGATTCACTCAGGAAGTGCCCCGTGACATTGTCTAACTTGATTGAATTCTAGATGGCTTCATTCTCCTGCCAAATAGATAATATTTTGTCACAACACAGTGTTAATTCTGTACGGGCAGAAAGGCTTCAAGGGAATAACAATAATTCCAAAGAATCAAGGTACGCAGAGAGGAGCAGCAAAGGTCAAATCTTTGAGTCAGAGCTAAATCTTGTGGCAAGATTGAGAAGAAGGAGTCCAAAAAAACTTTAATCATACCTTTATATCTATAGGTCAGCTGGGACAAACCAACTATGTGAACTTCACTAATATGTATTTTATACCTCCTGATTTATTATATTGTCAGTGCTGGAGTGTAATTCTATTTTGTTCTCTGAAATAAAGGTGTCAGTTATTGATGTGAAATAGCAGCATCCTTGAAAGAGAATAAGTAAGAAGGTTGAAAATCGAGAGTCTGTGAAGAACAACCTAGACTGAGAATATTTTCTTTCAAACCAACCCTTTAACAGAATACAAATTCACCTCGTTAGTCTCAGTGATCTGCTAGGGAAATAAATAACAAAGAGATGAAACTAAGGTCTATCTCCATTAATAAATAACCCCTCTCTCCCTAGTTTTGCTCATCATGATCTTGACACTGCTCTTTCTGAATCATGACTCCCCTGACATCTGCAAGAGGAAGGCAGAGACCCATATCATTCCTCCAGATGCAGTTAGGGATGAAACCTGACTGAAGAGTCAACTGCATGGCACGAGAAGAAGCCACAGCAGCTCTGTGGTACACGGGCAAAGAGTTCATGTAGCATCTCATGTGACCAGGCCAGGAAACGAAAGCAGAATCTTGGTTATGGCCCACAATAAAGCTCTTTCGAATCATCTGTTACTATTACTGTGCACATGCACTTGTGTATACAAA